TAAGATAAAACAGGAAGCTAAAGCAAATTCCAGTATTTTTCTTGGTTTTGAGGCAAACAGAATTCCTTTTTTTTCCCCTAGAGAATTCTCATTCCTAGTTCGTTAGAGATTATTACATAGAGAGCTGCACTTCACTAAGGAGGGATAACTTTCCACAAACTGTTTTTCAAGTGATAGGGAGTTTAAGAAATGTGCCTGCCTTCTACAGACCTTCTGGTGAGCTTCACCAAAAAAAAAACCAAAACAACCAAAAACCAAAACCAAAACAACCAAACAAAAAACCCTAAAACCAAAACCAAACAAAAAACCCCACCCACAAAAACAAAACCAAAACACACAAACCAACAACAAAAAAAAACCACAAAGAAAACAGCCTTAGCATCACCCTTGTCCTCCTCTATGTTAGGGCACTGGAGAGTGCACTTGACTTCTCTTGTTTGCGCTACACAGGTTCACAAAATGCAGGTGAAACTGATGAAAACAGAGGAAAAAACAGGTAGATGGTGCAATAACACAAGATGCATTTCCTTTGAAAACTAGAGTAAGGAAATTTTCTTGAGAGAGGTAGAGGAAGCATTGCCCATGATTTAAAACCAGCTCTGGGCCATTTGCAGTTTTAAAGCCATCTGGAGCTGGTGTTTGGTTACCAGCAAGACTCTCTCCAAATGACAGTAGATTCAGCTGGATGGGTGCAGTAGGTCCCACAGAAGATGCAGTGCCAGAGGCCAGGGGAGGCAAGCTTGCTTGTTTGGGGAAGATCACCTATGATGCTGGTGTCAGTCGGCCTCTGCCTGTCTCTTGGAATGGCTGGCTTGACACATGCTAAGCATCTGGAAGACGCCCTATTCCGCTGCTGTCTACAAGTCTCTTCTGCTTCTCAAATCATCCTAGACTTTTTCTTTTTTGAAGCACTGGATCTCAGAAAGAAGGTCAGAAAACTAGAAGTGCTCATAAAATTCTCTGAAAGTTGAAGTTCTTGTCAAGAAGCACATACAGATTATTTCTCTGGAGGAGAAAGAATAATTTCTTCAAAACACAATTCTTGTATTGTACTGTGTTTGTGGGTTTTGTTGCCCCCATTATTAATAGACTCTATTATATATCTCTTTTGCAACATTATTAATCAGCAACATGATCATTTGTTTAATAAATAGCCAGTTGTTTTTCATGTTTAAATGGGGTTGTCTTATTTTTGCTGCCTCCATTAAGAGAGAGAGTCAAGCCTCTTGAAAACACCTTTTCATTAGACCACAAATAAAAGTATTCTGCCCTAAGGAGAGTTCAGGAGGATTTTACCTAAACAATGATGCATCTTCAGTGCAATTAAGTGTAAATTTTTCAGGGCCTTTGAGTTACATACCTCCAAAACACACGAAAACAAAACAAAACACCACAAAACAACATTCGGTTTTCCAGGATTTGAATAATTAATTGTGTTAATAATTCTTAAGGGAAGAGAAAGACAAAACAGTTCAGAAGCCCTGAAAGAGGTGTATTGTTACTTTAAACACTGTACTCTCAGGAAATCAGTATTTCTATCATATTACCTAAAGTGCTAAATATAATCTCTGGATTGAACACTAATAATTCTCCAGGTATCTGCTGGACTACACTCTTTAATGGATTAACTGTTGTCAAAACTAGTTTGTTTTCTCCTTCCCAGAAGTCATATTGACTAAGACTGTCTACTTCGGCAGATTTTTTTCCTAGATCCCTGTTCCCTTTGATCCTTAAAATTTATTACTGGCGCGTAAACGTAAGGGTAGGACAGCACTGAGCCACAAAGACCCCACACAAAGCTCTCCTCCCATCCAGATGTACTGGCAGTGAGGAGCCCTGGCTGTGCCCAAAATCTCAGACCTCCAGGATGGGCACCACCGGGGCTCACTGCATGACCACCCAGTCGGGAGGGCTTCACTTCACCCATGCTGGCACATATGGACAATGAGGAATGAAAGGTTACACTAAAAAGACCAGAAATGTAGCACAGCGGAAAGCATCACATGCCTCTAGAGCAGATGGCCCGAGCAGATGGGGAAACACCTCCACGGAAGAGATGTTTAAAACCAGATCTGACAACCACAAGAGAGCCAAGATACCACCAACCCTTGCTTTCTGAGGTTTCTTCTTCTTGCCTACTCCTAAATGTGGGCTCTTGCATCTACTCTGTGGCCTCAGGATGTAGATACAGCCCCTTGGGAATCTCTCAGGCTTTTGGTTAACCACCACTGACATAAGTGCATTGGATTCATTTTCTGCTTGAGGGAAACAAACTTCTCTGTCCTCAGCACGGCAGAAGGGCGCAAGGGGCTTTGGGAAGCAGCACGTATTACTTGATTTCCTTCAGCACTTCCAATTCCACCCGCTGCTGCAGCACCCAAATTATCTGGCAAGGGAGGTAACTCCCATTGCTTGACCTGGCACAGTAAGAGGCGAATGCCTGCTGATTGGCACCGCAGCAACTCTTGGGTATGAGACTGAAAAGCCTCAGGTGATTACGATGCAAAACACCTAACAGTTCTTGACCCTGCTGCAAAAGAGAAAGTTGAGTTCATTTACTCAACTTACCTTTCACCTCTTATTTTATTACCCTTCAAACATCCTTGCAGATGCATGAACTTGCCTAGGGGTGACACATTACTCAAATCTAAAAGGCTGGAGCCCCTGAGAACAACTAGAAAATTTACCCCGAAACAAGTCAGTCTGGAGATATTTGCACCAGTTGTGATTGCTTCTTTTTTCAACTCCTTTTCCAGCCTCCCAGATGAGCTGCAGGGGACCCTAAGAAACTGGCCTGGTTTTCATGTCCAAAAGCCATCCTGGCATCCACAGCAACTCAACATTTGATTTCTGAGCTCTCTTCTGTCAGATCAATTGATAGTACATTTTGGAAAGAAACCACAAACACTTAATGAAACTATTTTATCAGACCAGAGGTAAATGCAAGATTGCAAGTAATCCTAAGAGACAGATGTCTGTAAGTTACAATAGTTGGATGTTTTTGGAGTCCATGAATACTTATATATTCACACGCATCTTAAAACCAGTGATCCAATCCAGTGTGACAGGTCCTATGCCTACTTGGTGCTCTCTGACAGTGATCATGGGGTTGAGAAAGAAAAATCTCTACCATTTTGATCTTGAAAGGCAATTTCTAGGGCTTTCTGTTTATTTTTAACTCTTGTTTTATAGATATTGAACTGAGATATCTGGACACTTGCTTTTCTATATGTATCTGTTTATGATACGCTGGTTTCTGGTATGGTGAAAGTAGCAGAGAATTTTGAAAAGCCATTTAACCTACTTTATATGAGTGGTGAGCTCTGAGGGCTTCATTTTTTTTAATTTGTTGGGGTTTGTTTGTTTGTTTTTTTGGTTTCGTTCCCGCCCCCCCTTTTCTTTTAAAACAAGGAAACCCCCATACTCAGCAGGGGAAGCTCCCCTTTATTTCTGTAGCGCAAACAAAGCACAGCTCAGCTAACACTTGGTTACTTAAAATAAGCAAACCTGCCAACATCTCAAAATAACTCAATCCCCCTACCTGAGTGCTGAAAGAGCTCATACACCACACAGGGGTAACACATGTGGGAAGAAAATTTTAAACACATTATTTAAAAAAGAAACAAAATTTATACTAGCTCTTAGCATCTTAGGCCACCTTTACTTAATTAGGCTACTTGGAATTACTCCAATTTAGTTTTCAGTGAATGTAACTTTTCTACCCACAGTTTCTCTTTGCTAAATCTGGGGCAAGCAGAAAGACAGAAGGAGCCAACCAGCTCAGCATTAAGTTATCTAACTACCTCCTACTGACAGTTTCTTCAGAAAATGTTATCAGTGATATCACACATATTATATCAAATATCCCGAGAAATAAATCTAACTCAAACAGCGATTTTGGTAAACTGAAAACTTTCTCATGTTGCACATGAAGAGGTGACTTCGTGAAAATTTTCTCTCTTAACAGCAAAGGTTTGTACATATCAAAAAGAAGATCAAAAGGTCCATTATATGTCACATTGTGGTGATTTCTGCTTCAATTTAAAAAATCTTAAGCACTAAAATAAAAATCATTATTGCCATAATCATGCATGACTGACACGTAATGCAGCTGTGGATTTGGACCATGGTGGCATCCAAGCAGTATATAATCTCTGTGCTGTGAAAATGAAATCACTTGAGATACAAACGATATGTGATTAAATTCTTTAGCCCCATGTGACCCTCGGGAATTGGACTTCCTCCCCTTATTTTGACAAAGTTGTACCTTTATATACTGGCTTGGATATAAAAAAAAAAGTGACAAAGTCCACTAACTAGAGTAAATGAGATCTCTAGAATTTTAAAAATAATACAGATGTGTTGTAAATCAAAACACAGCCAGTGTTAAGTCATTACTGTTCAAATAATTAATGAGCCTAGGCTTCCAAGATATGAAATACTATGGTTTCAGCTTCTGAGTTATTGTATGGAACTGCTGTGCAAAGAAAACAAGACAGAGAAATTAAATGAACCATGGTTTGGGAGGACCTTTTAAAAAATATTATTATTAAATGACTGGTGGTGGAGTGGGGCACACTCACGGCTTTGTGTTAGAAAAGCAAAAATCTTTGCTGAACCTAAAAATCATTTTGTTTGTTGTGTGCAGGCAGCTACCAGTAGTTCAGCATCTCCAGACAACCATGTCCTTCTCACAACATGTACCCACTGATTAGCAAGGACCAATTATTTATAAACTAGCCAAAGGTGCAGTTAGCGTATTTTGAGGACCCTGGCTATAGCATTCGCTGATGCCTTTTCCAAAGCAGCAGTAAAGCCGCTCAGACCAAGCAGGAGTCTGCCAAGTGCTCCCAAGCAGACAAGGAGCTGCCTGCAAGCCCAGCATCTGTGTTTCCGTGCAATCCACTTCCCACTGCTAAATCGCCTCTCTCCTTCCAGCTGAGAAGTTTTAAGCAACACACTTCCAAGCGAGAGGCCGTGAGCAGCCTTTACTCACATACCTGTTTCGTCGGGCGAGCTCAGCGAGGCGCTGTCCTGGGACAGCGTGGTCCAGCTGGAGTCCTCATCGCTCGGCGCCAGGTTTTGAATCCTATGGAGCGCACAATCTGTTTTGGCCCCAGTCTTGGGGTGGTCTTTCTTAGTCTCAGGGCTTGACGACACCGTGGCAACTTGGCCATCCTCTGGGCTTGATATCTTGTTTTGTTTCCGGGGCAGGACTTCCCCGTTGACAGTAACAGTAGAAGCCTGGCTGTTGCTTTGTGCAGATTTATCTTCCATCGCAACTAAACTCTGCTCTAGCTCTCTAGCAGACGTCTCTAGATCTGCGTAGTAATTCAGGAAGCTCTTGGTCCTCCTTGGCTGTGAGGGTAATATTTCACAGCCAGAGGAATCCTGCGGGATCAGCTCTTTGCCCTCAGACTTCTCAGAAGTTACGTTTACGCCCGCCGTGGTACTGAGGTTTTTGTTGGGATCCTGCTGTCCCTGCTCAGCGGCTTTCCTGAGCTGGTTTTCTCCATTCTTCACCAGTTTTATATTAGCAGAGCTGTTCCCCAGAAGGGGTTGCGCTGCTGGATCAGAAAGACCCATGGCTGTCTGAATGTTAGTCAGTGCGTACTTTTTCCTGCATTTTGGAGGGGTGCTGTTCTTGGTCTCCGTGAGCCTGATTTCTGCATTCAGAAGTTCGTTATGAGAGGAGCGCAGGTTGAGGGTGTTGGGCGGGGTGGCAGGGTTGTTGCGGTTCACAACGTCCATTGTGCTGCTGCTTGCCATAAACACAGCCAGCGCGTCCACACTGGAATCGACTAGAAAAGCAAGAGAGACACTGGTGAAACACGTTCGCTGTGTAGACTGATTCACTAGGGCTTCTGGTCAAAGGATGTGCCACTTTACATAACTGTTTTACAGCAGGAAAACTGCCACAACCTAAGTGGCTAAGAGAATAGACAAAAGCTTGGCTTATTAAATAAGGAAAAACAGAGACAGACAAAATACAGAGATCATCAGGACCATGAAGCTGAGAAAAAGAACAAAGCATGACCCTTATACAAGGCTATTTTAGAGTAGTTTTTTTGCATCTGGTTGTTGCAGGTAGGCTTGGGGACAGAAGAGGTGCCCTTTGCAAATGCGTGGGAGTCCAGAATATGCCCTTACCATCATTTCATTTTAGTATTTCACCTGTACCTCTGATGGAGGAGAGGAACTCCTTCAATGCTCATCACTAGGAATTAGAAAATTTGAGAAATTTCTAAGCAGACTGCAATCAGATGCTGCTCCTTTTTTCATCTAGGGTAGAAATCAACCATGGTTAATTTGAAGCATGACTGTCCCGTCAGCTCTTGCCTCTTAACGCTTGCATCTTCTCTGCAATTTGTCGTGTTTTGAGGTTTTTTCGTTTTTTTTGTTTTTGTTTTTGTTTTTGTTTTTAAGGGGGAAGTAGAGGGTCAGAAGGCAGGGAGTACATAGAGTATTTTGCAATTCTGTATTTGATTTTTTGGGGGGCGGGAATCTCTTAACAAAATATCCTGCTCTAATTCAATCAACTTCAAAAAAGAGCTGCTCTGGAAATGGAGATGGCTCACTGTTTCTACAGCTCACAAATTTCAAACTGAAGGATAAAACATATCCTAGGGCAGAGTACACATTATTCCACAGTTAAATAAAACCATTCCTTTGCCTATTTAAGACCAGTTTCTGATTTTTATTAGCCAGGCAAACAGCTCACATTTTGAAAAATATTGAGCTTGTTGAGCAAATAGATTTCTAGACTATTAAAAAAGATCAAAACTATATTTTTTTGAAAACTATCATTTGCTCCTGTACTGCCTGTTTACGGCTCCCACTAATCTGCACAAATACTCCATGAACACCTCCATTTACATACCGTAGTAATCACTGTTGTTTGACACCTGGCAACCAAATTAGAAGCCAATTAATAAATCATTCCCATCTGCCACAGCATGAAACACCCTTTCTGTTGTTCCTAATTCTCAGATATCACTGCTTACATTGCACATAAAAACACGTCTGTGGCTTCTCCAGGAGTGAAAAGCTGTAATTTGAGCTAGCTGATGACAGATCATTCCAGCAGAGTTGTGCTACATCCTTGTATATTTGATATACAACAGACCTGACTGCTGTGCAGATTTACAGGAGATTAAATATATGGGTTTTAAAAGAACACCAACATAAACACAGAGCGAAAAGGAGCACTTCACAACGTTACCTAAGCACATACACAGTTCCCAGTGTTGCGTCTCCTTTGACGTGCTATCAGAGCTGCACACTTCCAACATCACTCTGGTTCATTTAAAACCAAGCAGACCGAGTATACTCTGTTCCCTGAATCACCCACCTAGAACAACTTCTGAAACTTGTTCAAAACAGAATTAAAACTAAATTTTACCAATGTTCACGTCTGCCATTTCCTCAAGGCCCAGTCAGTCAGTCCAGACCAAGTGTAAATTCTTCATAAGACCCCATGCACACCGTGCTTAGGGAACAGTTAGCAAGCAATCTACAGACAATTTCTGCTTTAGCTGCAACAGACTGCTAAAACACAACCATCACATACTTTAAAGGAGCTTTATAAATGTACTTCTCATATAAATACATCAATAAATGTTGCTTTCTGCATCTAGCCTAAAACCAACCAAGTCTAAGCAAGGTTACATCTGATCCTACATAATGTTACCAAAGTACATGTTTTAATCTGAAAACAGGAAATGGCCTGTGTTGATGGACTGGGTGCTTCTTTCTGAATTAGTTAAAATTTTGACAATCTGGAAGTCACATAAAAAATAAATTAATAGGGCAGGATAATTTTGACCCACTGCCTGACCTTTAGAACATATGGAATTGCACAGGATCTACCAATTTCACTAGATTCTATTTTACTTTTTGCTTCAGCAAATTAAAGCAAGCATTTATTTTTTTCATCAATAAATACAACTGTCACAATCTTGAACAATACTAAAATTTATTTTTGCTCTTTATTACAAGCGAGTTGCTTCATCCAATGTTTGCCACTATTTTTTCCACTGAACAAATTTCTTAAAAAAATAATCTTCTCAGATAAAGCTGAGATCTGCCTGCCAGATTATCTTTAGCCAGTCTCCTGCCATTAACATTTCACTTATTAAAAATACTCTAAGAATAAGCACATAGAAACATTGAAACAAAATGTATTGTTTGACTAATCTGCTTGCTAAAGCTTCCCCATGGATTTATGATGAACACCAGCACACAGAGCCAAAGCCTCTAGAAGTCTTCGTGACCCAGGCAGCGTTAAGTTGGGTTGGTGTATGATCATAAGCAGAAAACTGTCAAAATGAGCCTTTCACAAGACACTACCTCCCCTCCTGACCCCCTTTTCAAACGATCCATTGATAAATCATCCTGATCAAATCACCAATGGATGTGCAAACAGTACCACCAGGTGCGCACAGAGAGGAGCAGGTTGTCCTCTCAAAGGACAGGCGCCTGCTCGTTGGCCATCACCCTGCAACCTAGCATCCCTCCACTCTCAGAAACAGATATAAAAGCATGAAAAAGGGAAGCAACACAAGAGGCAAAAAGAGAACAAGAAATACAGATGGGATGGGGCAGGTCTTGCATCTCAAGGGCAGAAGTTGCTACCAGACCAGGACTAACTAAAGTGCTGGAAAATGTCTGTAGGCAAGGAAATGCTTAAATGCACTGAAAAAGCCCTAAATTGCATAGCAGAACAGCATAAGAAAAAAGAGCAATAGCCTGTCCCTCCTCCTTTATACAGGACACAGTGACGCTTGAAACACATCACGTTTCCCAGAGGAAGCACATCCCAACTTTCTAATTAAAAAATTCAAGGAAATGTAGCATCTTCCTGTGCCTGTAATTCCAAGACCAAAATTCCCATCGCTGACTTCCCGTATTTTTTGCTTTGTCTCTCCCACTGACCCTGCCTCCTTCGTCCCAGGGAGACCTAACGCAGATCCAACCAGCTCCCTGGGTCCGAGGTCCTGTACCCAGGCACCACATCACAGGCAGACCCCGTCCCCCTGCTCGGGTAGCTCCTCATGCTGCTTGGCCACCGGTACAGACAACACTACTGGCACAGGGCACCCTTTTTTCAGCTCCTCTGCCTTCTGCTGAAAAGCAAATGCAAATGGATGAGCAGACCAGGAGTCACTGAGCTGATCCATACCTCAGTTAAAGCAGATCAACAGTGGTAAGTTATAAGTGAGTAACAACAAGGTAATAGAATAAAAAATACTGGACTCTGGTGAAAAACTAGGAATAATTAGGATGTTATCAGTACTGGGAAAAATTAGGATATTATTAAAATGTTAGCACTTAAGTAGGTAGAGGACCTGTCATGGCAATTTATTAATGATTTCAGCTTGCTTACTTTTTAAAACAAAACAGTCTCAACTGCATACTTCTAATGTTTACAAACATACCTACAGATATAGATTAATATGCTTTCCCCATTATAATGTGTTTAACACAAAGCAGCCTCAATTTTCTAAACATCATAATCATACAAATAATACTATTACTTGAATGGCTTTTACTGTTTTTCAAACTTGTCATAGGTCTTACAGAGCTGGAAGAAGGATAGAGAAAATACCACTGTAAACACAAAACTATGCATGGCCAAGTTGTCTTTACTTCTAATAAGATCTTTTTGCATTGTACTGTCTATAGGAATAGTTTTGAAAAAGCAGAATAGAGAGTTTATTCAAAAAGGCACTGTAAACAGAAATGAAAGTGCTTGCTCTTTTTCATGTGTAAGTGCACAATGAAAGTGAAATATGGGCCTGGGAGGAGACAGAAGAAAAAGAGGAAAGTTTCGTATATTTGCATAGCATAATCTTTTAAAGGGCATCTGACCTGGAAGTACTTCTGACATGGCTCACGGGGCGTCAGCAATGCATCAGGAAATAGATTATAATTTCAAATCTGAAAAGAGGGATCATTTAAGAATTAAAACCAAAGGAAAACACAAAATAAAAATACCACATTTCAGAAGCTCCTGAGAGACATTAAGCATTCTAAACAAACCCTGGAATGTAACAGTGAGGCTCTTTTGAGCTTTTAATGACATTTGACAGTCATTAAAATACAGGAGGGGCTAGTATACAGAAATGAGAACAATTTAAAATAATTATTACTTTTTTTCTTAATGTACAATTTACTAGGAGCAGGAGTTCAAAAATATTTTCCAGTTTTAATCAACATACTGTAGCAAAAATTTCATTGCATTAGAAAATTACCTAACTACAGCTTAGACAGGAAACTACACCAGTGTTGGTACAAATAACCACAGCAGTACGGCAGGTTCACATGAAAACCTGCAGAATGAGACCCAGCATATGAAACTAAGCAGCATAGTCTGCAGCGCTGATCCCAAGGAGGGAATCACAAAAAGCAAGCCAGGCAGCAAGCTCCTGCACAAGACCCTTTCCAGGCCATCTTCTCACAAGTAAACCATTTTGCCTTAAAGCCTCTGGTTTGGATGTGAATGACGCATACGGTAGGAGCCAAGGTATTTCTATGCACTTACGACTGTATCTGCCATAGTGTCTAGGAAACACTGGAAAGAAATAATACAAACCTTTACATAATGTAGATTTCCTTTCTGCAAAGTCATCTGTTGAGTACAAACGTTAAATGACTATCTTGTGCCATGGGGCTACAGCCTCAGGTCCTGTTCGCTTCAGCTCTAGTTAAAGCCTAAGCAGCTAGAGAAATTGTCCCCATTATACAACAATCGCAACCAAACACTACCTAACTCCCTCTGCTTCAGAGGGCACATTCCAATTTTTAAAACATTAATTCTTAATTAAGTATCCTAACATGGTTGTCTGCTCACATCCATATTCACTCTTCAACTAGGACCAGCTAAAAGGTAAGAGCTAAACAGATGTCAGCAAAAAGCATCCTAATAAAGTCTACATTTATATTAATGTAGCTGAAATCAGAATCAAGACTAGAAGCTTTCTTAAGTGTCAACACTGTGCTCCTTCTTGCCTACATATCTACACACATTCCAGGGGCCATTAATCACTGTCAGGAGGGAAAAGGAAGAAAAGCACTTGAATGAAGTGCTGCGGTAGATCAGAACAACCAACAATGTTCCTGCAGCCAGTGGTTTTCTTCTTGCTACTCCCTCCAGCAATGGTATCTCTGCTGGACTGAGTTTGGAAATTGGAAACACCGCTGCCCTCTCCGCTCCACCCTCACTCTGTCGCACATCAGAAGAAAATCACCACTTTGACCTGCTCACTAAATGCAGTTTCTTCCATTCCCAGCTATCTCTGCTTCACCTGAAATCACCATCCGGTTACCAGCTCTCTGTCCTGGCTCCTCCTTCCCCCAGAGGCACCCTGTCAGCCCCTGCTACCCCAATAATTACATTTTAACTCGTAGAACTAATCATACTGCCAACCCACTGCAACAGCCCAGCAGCAGTGCTGTCTCTTCTAGTGATGCTCTTATTAATGAAAATCCATAACGCTGATCTGTCTTTAAATAATGTTATTAACGAAAAAACAACTTCAGATCCTGCAATGAGTTCTGGCACTCAAGTGAAGTATATGACTTCCCATTTGCCATTTTTCCCCTCCCCACTCCTAAACAGCCAAATTCCTCATCCAGCAAAAATTCAAAGACAAGATGCCCCTCAGAATCAAATCCTAACAGCTACAAAGGAAAAAGAAACACAAGAAAAATAATAATGAAAAAAGGAAACAGGCTAAATCCATTGCTTCTTTACTTACAATTTTATTAAGGTAGATAGTCAAATATGCACTGATTATTTAGAGATACCTGAAACACTACACTGCAGATGACCAGGGTCATCTTATGCTACTGGAGTATTTCTAAATCAAGCAATTATTTGGAGAACAAAGAGTAATTCTTTCATATACATAAGGCATAACCATGACATGCAATCATGACTAATCCTGCATTTAGTAAGGGAAATATTTTTAGTGTGCAAAATGGCACACTAAGTCTTTTCCAAATTCAATTTTCTACCTTTTATTAGATTTCCCCCCTTGTGCAGAATGGAATTGTCTGGCAAGCAAAAGCAGTGTTCTCATGGCAAGAAGGAGGAGCGTGTTTTATCTATCAGCTACTCGCAAGCACAGACAATAAGACCTTCTGTCATCGGATCTATGCATTCACAGCTACATGTGCTAACTCAACCTCGGTCATTTTTTCTAATCCTGCTGTGGAAATTAAACTTCTGAGACTTCACATTTTTATTTTCTTTTTATTTTACACCTATGTATAAATTACTCAATTGCTACAATAATATCACACCTCGGATTCATTTTTAAAAGTTAAAAACAAGTCTGCTTTAAATGCACACACTAATAGAGGGCACAAGCACAAACTTCCTTCTCTCTTACACAGAAACACAAACTCAGAAACTGTAACTTAAATTTCTGCAACTAAGATGACCAACAAAGCAAGAAGGACTTGGTCCTCCATATTCTGCAACTTCAATCTCAAGTGCCACCCAAAAATACCTCGTAGCAAGTCTGAAGGTAAACAACGTGTAATAAAACCTGATCAGAATTACCAAACCCAAAGCATGATCCATAAGAAAAAGAAAACTAGGATAAGCTGTTTCAGGGAAAAAAGGCAACCAAAAAGCTTTGTAGGACAGGCAGCCTACCCATATGCTTAATGGAGTCACAGAAAGAAATCGGTGGCCATGGATTTGGCACAAAGAAATGACTTAGACTGATTCAAACTGAGTCCACACAAGGGATTTTTCAGCCCCACATAAACTTAGATCATTGACAGCTCCTACACCAGGAAGCAGAACCATTCAAAAAGACGATTGATTCCTGAACAGGGCTAAAGAAACCCTCAGGGTCCAGCACCAGCTTTTCAGCTGTTTGTCATGGTACCAGTCCAATACCAAGCTCTATGATCAGGAGTCACAGGCAGCAAATGTAGGAAAAAGATTAAGCACAGGTCACAGTATTATTAACAGAAGGAGTAAAAAAGTTGACTAAGCCCCTGCCAGATGCAACCGATGAGTTTAAAAAAATTATTATCATTATTCTTATTATTATCATTAACCACCTCCCACACATCTTATCTGTGGCCCTGTTACTTGCAGCTTGCAAACATTTGGCTGCTTCTGCAAAGCCCAGAAACAACACTGCATACTCCCGAGCACAATCCATATCTCCAAGAACAAGTAACCACATGCACATAAACACAGACATTTCAACTTCTCTTTGTTAACTAATATACCAATGCCCTTTAGAACAAGGCCTTTGAGGCACTGCAGCGTGTCCAGAGAAGGGCATCAAAGCTGGCAAAGGGTCAGGAGAACAAAAATTTTAAGGAGCAGCTGAGGGAACTGAGGCTATTTAGGCTGCAGGAGGCTGAGGGGACACCTTATCACCCTCTACAACTATCTAAAAGAAGGTTGTAATGAGGTGGGTGTAACTCCCAAGTAACTAGAAATAGGACAAGAGGAAATGGCTCGAAGTTGCGCCAGAGGAGGGTTAGATCGGATATTAGGAAAAGTTTCCTTACTGAAAGAGTGGTCGAGTACTGCATCAGGGTGCTCAGGGAGGTGGTGGAGCCATCATCCCTGGAGGTCTTCAAAAGTGTGTAGATGCGGCACTTCAGGACATGGTTTAGTGGGCATGGTGGTGTTGAGTTGATGGCTGGACTTGGTGATCTTAGAGGTCTCTCCCAACCTTAATGATTCTATGATTTTGTATTTTAACATTTATACTTCTGATGCCCTGGCATCACGAGGACGAGGGCCACGAAGGTGATCAGAGGGCTGGAGCACCTCCCCCATGTAGACAGACTGAGGACTTGGGGCTATTCAGCCTGGAGAAGAGAAGACTCTGGTGGGACCTTATTGTGGCCTTCCAGTTGCTGATGTGGTCCTACAGGAAAGCTGGGGAAGGACTTTTTACAAGGGCCGGTAGCGATAGAATGAGGGGAAATGGTTTTAAACTGGAATAGGGTAGATTCAGACTAGATACTACAAAGAAATTCTTTACTGTGAGGGTGGTGAGACACTCCAACAGATTGCCCAGGGAAGCTGTGGATGCCCCCTCCCTGGAAGTGTTCAAGGCCAGGTTGGACATGGCTTTGGGCAACTTGGTCTGGTGGGAGGTGTCCCTGCCCATCTTTAAGGTCCCTTCCAACCCAGACCATTCTATGATTTTGTAATTTCACCTGCTACAACTTCATCTGTCCTCTGAATTACACATAATAAATTTATGGCTAGTTACACATTAAGCTCTTATCAAGGTTATCCAGAAATATTTTTACCCTCAAATTATTCAGACTGGTAACAATAGTTTTGAGCCACCTATTGTCACTGCCTCATAGTTGAGATCTTAAAATGCATTTGAAACAGCATGGTACACTAAAATTGTTTTCTTGTTACTATAAAGTTGTACTTAGTGTCAAATTTGGCCCTACAGATGAAAATCTGAAAATTAACTAAATGGGAAATAATCTTTCAGTAGACTCTTTACAACTGTATATGAAAAGAAACAAAGAATATGTGTATATCAAAAGTCTCAATAGAAAGAATGAAAAACTTGAATTCCATTAATTCATAAGTGCTTGCAAATAATTTCAAGTTGCTAACAGTAAGTTGAGACTTGTGAGCAAAAATAAAGTCCAAGTCATAGTAGCAGAACAGAGCATTAGACTGATTGCCAGGTTTTGCAAAATGAGACTATCAGGGCTCTCAAAGAGAAGAAAAGTTTTTGCACATTGACAAGACTGCTTCTGTTCCACATACATTAAAAACATCTGCACTTCACCAAGGTAAGGCTATTATATGTACACTTTTAACTACATCTGCTAAAACTTTCTTAAAGTTGAACTCAGATGTCCTACCCACATATCCCTTGCTTCCAGTAAAGGAACAGGATACATTGCAGAGCACAGGATGCATCAAACCAGAAGTCGTCTCCACATTTGAAGTCTGTTTTTCCATTAAAAACTGAACTAAAATAAGGCTTATGACACAGAGAGCTACATCTCAACAAGGCTGAAAGTTGCCAGCAAAGATATGTTTTGTTTTCAACCGAACGGTAATGGGACAAATCAGAAGTATTTCAAAACATACAGTTTATAAACCAACTGCTGCAGTACTGCTTACTGTAGGCAAGTAGATCACCTTGAGAATGCTGTTTTACTATGCTGAGAAGCTTCTACCCATAGTGCTCATACATAAAGCAAAGCCACATGCTCATAAAGTCCAAGTATTGTATCTGCTTTATGGTCCCCATAAACTAAGCAGATCAATCCATAATAAAGTGGACGGAGAACATTACCAAAAAAGCAACTGCACTTACTGGCATTTATATTACACTGAAGTGCGGCTAAAAGTGGGCTCAGTTTCAACAAGGAGCAAACTTGGCTGAAGAAGGCACTGAGCAAGTGGAAAAGAACAAGCTAGTGCTATTACTGGCCTGAATTTCAACAAGGAGTCTTGAGTTCTTGATGTGCCAGCCAAAATCCTCTACTCCTTTTTCTTATCTACAATCTCGCAGAAACTGGGGTTCCTGTGGAAATTCAGTACCATGAGCTCCTCCTTGGGTGTGAGGTGCCTCTTTGAGTGAGTTTTCTGTCACTCCACAGGCAGCTCCAAGCCCACAGAGCCACTCCACAGTACTTTTTCATACCAATTCACCTTGGGCTAATGATAGCAATGTAATGTAATTACTCACATGGGCTGGAAGTTTGGGGGTTTTTCAGAGGTCTGCTGCTATTTACAATGTCACCATTCTCGTATTTGTTTCCTTATTTCACTGCAAAAAAGCTAGGACTTCCCTGCAGTTTCACTAAGCAACAGCTCCCTTGCAAGACCAGCAGTGGGGGATTGCCCCAGAGCAAACAAGGTTTGCTCTTTGTGAAGCTGAAGAGACACAGGCAGAGCAGGAATTTGAGCGTTCCTGGAGGGAAACCAAACCCCAAGTTTACAAAGTCAACCCTGCTTTCAAGTATATTGAATTATTTATAAGTGCAGCTCTAGCATGGGACATGACCAGAAAGAACTGAGAGTCAAACCTATCCCCTCCACAGTCCAGGGAATCCGTAAGGGATATTCCCTTTCATCTTTATCCTTGACTTATGAACATTTAATCAAAACGGCATTTCCCCAAAAAGGTTTGCTTGGAGAAGGGGGGTGGGAGAGGGAATCACCCCCCATCAGAAGTTAATGAAATAAAACTCCAGTCAGCCCTAGTAATTCTATTGGCAGAATTATATCAGTAAATCACTCTGTGTGGACCCTAGCCTGAGTAGTAAGTAAGTAAGTAAGAGATGCCTAATAGTTCACAAAGAAACAGAAGTACACCTTTGCCTGCCACAAATCCAGAGGGTGAATTCAAGGTGGGAGATGCGGCAGCAAGGACTGGTTGCAGGGCTCCAGACGCAAGCGGGTCCTTTCCTCCCGATGGATGTTGAGCCACCGCAGGACTGTGCCTCTGCCCCAGCACACTCCAAAGGCCACCAAGAGCCAAAAACTACCACCCACAAACTCCTGCATTTCCTCACTTTTAATGTTTCCTCACAAAACTGTGCTTTTTACTATTACTATTGTTTAAACCCTTCCTGAGCATTTAATGTCAGCAGAATGGCACTGGCACCAATTCAAGTTTCTCCAAAATTCTTTGCTCAGATTTCTATATCATGCAAATCACTACAAGTAACTAAAATAAATTAATTGTTATACTGGGGACAGGATATGCATGGACAATCTGTTAAAAAGTTTTTTTCCAGACTTACAACACCCTTTTATTCTGTGCTCAGAAAAAAAAAAAAACAGTATGAAAGAAAATTTGAGACTATCTAAACAACACAAACAGGACCATGTTTTCAGGAGAGCTGCTGAAGTCCAAGCAGAAAAGTATATTTTATTAGCAAATATTAGAAAAATATAAATATAAACAAAGCTCAGGAGAAATTCCTGAAAGCAATCTGTTTACAAAACTGAACTTCTCAGTAGCTGAGGACTGTACATCCTTAGTCTGTGTTTTTCACAAGAAAGACCCAGAAAAGAAAAAATAAAACACAACCAAACAGCACACGAGAGAGTGTTAAATCAGGACAAGCAGTGCTAGACAGAGCCAGGGATACACCTAGGACTGCTTTGCTTATTGGTAGTAATCAAGGGAGATCAGATCATTCCTCTTTAATTACACTTTTAAGAAGTCTAAACTAGCATGCACCTGTTAAATTCACAGCTTTTTATTTTACATTGTAAACACAGACCTAATTCTTCCCTTCACGGACTTTATTTAGGTATATACATCTATGATTCTACATACATATGTAGAGACAGAAGATAAAAGTCAGGGACTAAGACTTAAGGCTGCACCAAGTTCTCAACGGCACAACATTAAGATTGCAGCAACTGTGAATGTGAAGTGCAGTAGCTGAGATGGTGCGATTGCTCATTATTTCTGCGAAGAACACAAAAGCAAAATGATGTATTTTACCAGCATTTTCATTGAGATCTAATCTGCTATCAGAGATTTCATTATGATCCACGTTTCCCAAAGGCTGGGCAATTTCAATGCCATTATTGTTGGATGTCCAAAGCACTGATTATGTTAGGCACCGGGAAGTTGCACATATCATACAGTAACAAAACCAGAAAATAAACCAAGTTTCCTGGCTTAGAAACCCTGACAGGTTAAGGAAAGGGGAAACTTGGCTTAACAAAAGCATAAATCAACCATGAAGTAGATATTTTGATATCTCTGTCCTCAGACAGAGGGAGCTCTGGCATCAATTGATTCTGACGCAAGTTTCAGCCCTGGCAGCTGATGGGAACCCAGCATTTCCTCAAGCAAACAATTCCACTTTTTTGCTGTCTGCAACTGCTCAAGAGGAAAAATATCCTAGGCTCTTCTAGTAAGAATTTAATGTCCACTACTTGTTCTAACTAGGAATGGGAAAGACTCTGAGCTTCTAGCCTAGGCACAAGACATGGATATCATGGCCTGCAGTATACAAAGAGGTCATGCTTGAAGGCTGGTGTCTAGGTTTAATGTCAAGTGATTCAAACAGATCAGTTCAATTCTGACCACCAGAGACCTGTCAAAACTGTACCAACCATTTATTTCCTCCATTCCTAGTATAGACAATATCACAACGTTAAGACACAAGACAAGCTCTTTGGAAAAGTAGTACCTAAGTTGGCTCTAGCGCACCATTTTAACACACATCTTCATGACATCTATGACTATTCTGAAGCAGAGAGTAGACATACTTTACTGCCTCCTAAGATTTAGCCTTGGGATTAGGAAGAGCCCCACAAAGTCAAGTCCTGAATACAGGACCTCACCACGCAGTTCATCATGTTTGATGGCAAAGCCACCATAGGAAGTCCCCATCCTGGCACAGCTGTAAACTCTGGCTGCAGTTAACTACTTGCATCAGCCAAGGCAAGTCTGTGTGGAGCTGGATGCCTGAAGTGATCAAGGCTTTTCAAAGGAACAGAAAGAACAGTACAGAAGGGAGAGCTTCTTAAGCTGGCTTTGATGTCAAGAAAAGTCAGATGGATCATGGTGTTCTGCTACAACAGAACGAAGAGTGAATACAAAAGTTAACCCACCTCAGCTTCACCTCAGCAGCCTGGGGGATCCATAGAAAGTGCATGAGGAGCAGCAGCCTTCTGGAGTGGGGGTATTACCCCACATCGCTCTTTAAGGAAGGCCACGTCAGCTTATTTCACACAGCCTACACTGGGGAACCACTGTGGTGTGGTAGTGCCATCTACACCAGCATCACAGATGTCTGCTTAGTCAGTGGAAGAGGCACGTGATAAAGTTTTCGGAGCTGTCACTGCACTTTTACAGAAGACAACCTTCAGTAGAAGATAATGTTAATATCATAGAATAGGATACAATTTAGAAGAAAAAAACAACATGAATAATATTGAACTCAAGCATATAAGTAATCTGAACTGCAGACATTAGTAGCAGTTATAAAAATTAAAGCTATAGTGCACAGTGACATTTTAGGATAAGCTCAAACAGTTTATTAATGTGAAGGTATCCAGTATTAAAAACTTGGGATGGGAGTGAAACGGAATAGCAGCTAAACTTTTGAACCCTATAATAAATAAAGTTGGAGCCCTTGAACACAAAACACAGCACACTGCAGTAGACTTGGTCAAGTCACACTGCAAGCCACTTTTAAAAATTCTAGAAAATACCTTTGCGGTTTAAACATAAATCAATATACTTACCATTTGGGTACACACACAGGAGAGCTGGCATCGATTAGAATATGTCAGCATCCTTTATAAATACTACTTCAACATTTATGAACTTAGCAGCCTTCAAAGGTAATAAAGCGACAAATAAATTAGACCAATTGCATACATACATGAGCTGCTTGGCCGATAGTGAGCCCCCGGGTACCGCCTGCCCATAGTGCCAGTCAGCACATTACTGCACGCTGTCAGCTGCTTTCAAAGTACAGATCGAAACGCTTAACTGAGGGAGAAGAGAGAAAAAAAACAAGGGTGAAGATTTAGTACCACAACTGTATCTTTTTCATTAAAATGCTAATGACCCCTACAAATATCAGCATAACTACGTCTATAAATTATTCATAGTCGTGTTGTCAGAGAAGATGAACTGTTGTGCTATACACGCAGCACAAATTTATTATTAGCGGTTGGTCTCCATTAATAAGCCCACATAAATTATAAGGCACAAAGAAGTCTCAGATCATACAGTAGCTCCTCTTGGCCCATGATAGAGACAGAACCACAAACACTGCAAGACAAGGGTTTGCTGCTTTTGGCTTTAAATACAGTTAGCCAGCAGGTGAGACTTAATAACAGTGCTGTCTTAAATCATGTGAAGCAATCATTAAGCAACAAGTTTATCAACAGTTTGCTATAGAAGTGAAAAACTTATCCATGCTACAAAACACTCATTACTTTGAATCTGTCCCTAAAAACCAAAGTGTCTTTACAGGAATGCAGGCTATTTACTAGTGTATCAGTTTTTGTGAAGTATCAAAAACCCAAGTAAACAAGAAATGCATGGCACATCTTACAGTCAGTTTGGAATAACAAATCCAAAATCTTAACTGAAATGCTACTGAACCTGTCAAGTAACTAGAATAAAAATCTTTTAGTCTAAAAACAAGTCTCAACTACACAATTTATAAAGAGACATTTCCTTTTATTTCATTCTCTCTGTTGCTGCAAGGACCAAAAAAGTAACAAATTCTGGGGATCTTTTTTCCCAATTCCTCAAGGATTTTTACCATATCAGGCTGCAGCTATAAGCACCCAGGAAACAGAGAGAAATATCAAGACCCAGGTGAAATAGCATTGCATTGAAAATGGGTGATTTCCACCACTCTTCAGACATGTCAGTTCCCTGACTGAGCAGAAAACCAACGAATTAGAGAAGCCTTTTAGATACATCGGCACCCATGTAACTCTTCAAGTGAGCTGTCCGCGAGCCAGCACAGCTGAAAACTCCGTATCAAGATACATTTTCAGCCAGATGAGGCTCCTGAACTGACTCCTGGTGGTTGCACTAGTATTGGTGAGGACAAGAGGAAAGAATGGGACCATGGCAGTCTGTGCTTAAAGTGACGTAAAATGCAATCGTGTAACATTGCTACAGCCTCTGTGGATCACTTCTAAAATACAGACACCTGCACAGCTGGCAGCACAAAAAAAAGCAGGTAAAGGTCTCCGTTATTTCCAAAATATGTACTGATGAAGCGTGTCCTGTTCAACTCTCCTCAATGGAGAAAGTTCAGTGAATCAATGAGACTGTACTCCCTTGCAAGGAAAAGGAGAATTCTGGCTGTTCAGATGAAAAGTGAGCAGTAAACAGCAAAAATAACATTCAGTCAAAACTTCTGCATTTCTTTTGCAGCACAATATGGGACAACTCCTTGCCATGGGCCACACAGACCTTTTCAAACTTCTGTGATGACCTCCTAGTTCAACGCAATGTTGTGCAAGGAAAAAAGTTGCAGATGGCTGTTTTCCCTTTCCTGATCTACAAGAATTTAAAAACAAAAAAAATCAACATATTTATTAGTAGAAAAAGATTTACATAAATGCATTCTTGTCTTTCTAGAAGGTGTACACTTTTCTAAAGCAGTAGCATTCACTAAATTATATCAAATAACTACACTTGAGACATGCTATTCCTTCCCTACCTAGCAGCACATCATTAGACAGGGCCCTCTATGCCATACTACAGTAAAAATCTCTAATAGATAGAAATTAAAAATCCCAAATCACACAGTTATGCTCTCAAAGAGTTGAATTAAACTAGAATATGGTTCTCCTAAAGAAATGTGCCCACCATAGGAATAGTCCACTCTCTGGGGAGGCCAGCAGGGGATCCAAAGGTACAACCATTTTAAATACCACATTTTAAAACCCCAGAAAACTCAGCGGGAAAGACACCATAAAGAAATATCCTTATTATAGCAAAGGCTTCAGCAGTTACTATCTAAAATGGGAACTGCAAAGATTTACAACCTGGGTTAAAGCCAACTATCAGAAGCCAATTTAGAAGCAAGCGCCACAGAGTAAGTGAAGGTCAACTGCCCTGCAAAACACCAACCACACTGGACTGCACGTACCAACAGGGACATAACCCAGAGCAAGACAAAGACGCTTATGTTTATTTTGGGGTTGGGTTTTTTCTGACTCCTGAATGTCACCAAGCTCAGGGAATCCCCCCAGAATTGAAAACTACCTTCTTGGTATCCAAATGGCACAGCTAATGCATCTGAAAACTAGCACTGATTTTCCATATACATCCATTATAATAGTAAACAAAATGGAAGGAGGTTTCAAATATTTCTTTTGAAAGATCCAAGTACAATGCATGTGCAGGTTTGAGTTTTGTTTTGTTTTTAAATGTGCACAACTTAGATATCCACAACTGCATGTAAATTTGAGCTAAATGTGAATGTACCTAATATGTCAGACCAGCTCTTCTCAGTTTTTAACCTGCTCACACTTGTTCTGTAACAAATGTGTTTTGTAACAGCTTTCTGGCTTTTTAATTATTCTACTGCAAAATTGCTTTCAGAATGTTTAATAGTGATTTTTACATCTTTATAGTTAAATTAAAAACTATACATACACAAATGCACACATAGCCTCATGGTTTCTCTTCAATAAATGTTTTGATTTGGCTCTGCCTGAAGATTTATTTTTGCCCTTTCTTGATGACCTTCCCTAATTTGTTTCAGGTGAGCGGCCCCACACTCTAAGCAATGACAGACAACCAGGGAACCAAAACTGAGCACTGTCACTGCACACCTGAAAGCACCACTCACTTCACCTCGCGCCAAGCCTTTTCTAGGAGCTGTGGTGACAGCAACTACTCAGCATCACACACAGTGAGGGCAGAAATCATGACCAAGAGCATGTCCATACAACAGGCACATCATTCATGTTTGCCTGAATTAATCCCATTATCTTTCATTTGACGACGAACAACTTCCAGTCCAGACTCCATATGTTTCATGGACATTAAACCTTTACTGGGTTTCACCCAAACTTATTTGCTCACGCATGCTGCTGCTTCTGAGGGTATTAGATGGCCAGCTGACTCCTTGGCCTTCCCTGGTTCTCTACCAGTAACATTTGCTACAAATATGTGTGTTCAAACACAAATATAAGTATATTCCCACTAGCAGCCACAATCTCACACAGTTGACTGCCAGCAGACCTAACCTCACCTGCCCAAGAAAAAGGATACAAAAAAAGGACATGACTGCAAATTACCTATGGAAGTCATCCAAGTGTGGCTGACTACATCATTCACTCATATGGAACAGCTACACACAGCAGGGAAAGAAAACAAAGTTATTGTATGAAGTTTCTCAAGGGACAACCACTCCAGAAATTACATTCCAGTGCTCTCTGGGTAATATTCTGACAAATAAAACAATCCCACCTTTAAAGCCTTCCTTTGAATACCAGGAAATAGCCCTGTTAGGGAATGGGTAAGAGCAATACCTTGCTTTGTTTTAAAAAAATGCACAGGTCCTATACAAAATAGGCCCACTATAGCAAAGGGTTCAGACACTGAGAGAAGTTGATATAAAAAATAAATTTTAAAAAAATCAGCCTATAAGGCTGGTGGAAGTCTTATTTACAGATAAAGTGTATCTGTATATACACTTCAGTTTTGTGTACGTATGTGTACTTCCCATTGTGATGCTTCTCCCTTTGCCTGCATTCAAAGCAGCCTCTCAGAGCATCACCTGTAGGACAACATTAGCAAAGCACAATTTAAACAAGTAAGCGAAGTGTGCAACCAGGTCATTAGGAAATTGTGGTGCTGATTTCTGGCACATAGAAAGACACAGCACCTTCACTTTCTGTGCTGGGAACAGCTATTGGATGCCGATCTCTCACACCAAACTGCCTATTGGAGAAACCATAATGTTGTCTACTAGCTAAGTACCTTCTACCATTTTTGGAGGTCATTAATGACTCATATCCATTATTCTTTATCAAATACTTACCATCTTTTTTCAAAAAAGGTATCGTCATTTCAGGTATATTTTCTTTTGTTTTTAAAGTCTTTCGTTATCCAAGAGACTTATCCTCCTTTCCAGGTCTGTCTGGGAGTGCTCATGTCCAGGAGGTTGGGAAGCTGCCCCGCTTGCCAAAATGCTCGCTCCCCGCTATCCCTGCTCACTGGCGCAAGATAAAAGCCTTCCGGGCTGGAAGGACAACCACAACTCCACAACCAAAGGCATGTTCCGCCTGCACTCATGCACTGGGATGCAGCGTAATCCAGATACCAGATATGCTCAGAGACTGGAAAGTCCTGTCTTGCCCAAAAAGCCTGGTGACCACCATTTCTCCTTCCAACAATTTCACATTACTCAAATTTTTGTTTCTTGCAGTCATTCTCACTTGCAGTTCTCTGTCCTGCATACTTTTTGGCTGCCTTTGTCTCTCTAACTTCCCCCTAACAAGTTCCTACTTGGATGCTTTCCCTCTTCTCCATTTTTGAGAAGTCCTTCATGAGGGCTTTTCTCATTCTCAGTTGTCTTTTCCAGGTACTTTGTTACCTACCTGCTTAGTTAAGGTTCCCATAGACTATGTGGGGATGGATGTTATTATTTCCTACTCTGTTCTGGGGGTATCATCAGTGGTTATTTGGACAAAATTCCTACAGTGTCCCTAATTCATACGTGAGGCTCTGTCATAGGCTCCCCAACTCATCAAAAAATGTGGTTTTCTTAAATTTTGTGTTTCAGTACTTCCACAGACAGATCACGTAGAGCGAGCTGCATTCAAGTCATTCACTGTCCCTTGACCCTGATCCCATACATAGATGATACATACTTGCTCAGTAAAACACACCTGCTTTTTATATTTATCTATTCCACATTAAGTTACCTTAATGCAGATTTTATTCAACCAAACCATAAAAGAATCCATCAGGGCATTTTATCTGCAACAATACAGTCCACATACAT